ATGGTTCGAGTCTTTACTCAAATAAAATCCGAGGTATAACATTATCTCCCCCTTGGGATCATTCTTCCTCGAATGATGACTGGACTGGGTATGAAATGAGGTTACTATTACTAAGGTCTTAGTCTAATGCACTACAAAAAAAACAATGTTTAGCGACGGACGAAATCCGTCGCTAAATAGCTTATTCCGTCGCTATTTTGGTTTAGCGACGGAATAGCGACAGAATTTCATCCGTCGGTATAATGCGCGTAGCTAACCATTTAGCAACAAAAAAATAAATCCGTCGTAAGTTTAGCGACGGATGCGCGACGGATCTCTTCCGTTGTTAAAACTAACGACCAAAAAAGTCGTCGTTATATTTGTACTTTTTGTCGCAAATTCTGTGAGCTATTTCATCGTGTCATCGTATTGACGACAGAAATTTTTTCGTTAATTCCGTCGCTATCACTTTTTATACATTTCTACCTTTCTTGTAGCGACGAAAATTCCGTCGCTAATTCTGTCGCCATTACTTCTTATACATTTCTACCTTCTTATAGCGACGAAAATATTATCGCAAATCTGTCGCTAATTCCGTCGCCATTACTTTTTATACATTTCTACCTTTTTATAGCGACGAAAATATTGTCACAAAATTTCATCGCCATTACTTTTAAATACATTAGTGACAAACATATTATCGCAAATCATATTCAAATAGATATTATAAATTTGCAAAATTAACTTAATTCATAGAAACTAATATTCTACTAGATCCAAAACACAAAAAACTAAAGTGTATAACCAAGTTTAAAACAACCCCAACGATAATTTCCAAACAAAAATTAATATCTAGCCAACAAAACTAACTAAGAGAGATCGGAGAACCACAATCTTCATTAGAAATCGATGCATTTGCCTCATCAATATTAGATGGAGTAGGAATGACGGGTGTCATAGGAGTGTTTGACTGAGATGAGGTCGAAGAAATCAATTCACGTACCCGCTCAACAAACACAGGAAGCATGTGATCTGTCAGTGAAGGAATCAATCGCGTCATAAAGTCATCCAAATTTTCCGGTGTTGTTGTTTGAGCATTCATACATGGTATTGAGGACGAAACATCAAATCCAGAAGCTGGGGCACAAAAATTCTTCCCGTAAAATGATTTTGCTTGCGATCCAAGACCATATATCCTTCTTTTCTTTTCCCCTCCTGCGGCTTGATAATATGCTTGCAATTGATCAACATTAGATTGAGTTTGTGTTTGATTCTGTAATATTTCTAGATACTTTTCCTGTTTAAGAGAATGATAAACAGTTAAATTCATTAATAACAACCACAACAATAACAATAGTCACATCTAGTTTATGCCGATATCTTAGATAACTTTTTATTTGCATATTCAAGTCTATGCTGCCCTTTTTTTAACCCACAGAGAATGCACAACTTGAAGTATTTATTGTGCCATATATATATGAAGACCAGACTATGTCAAGTTATTTCAGAAACATAAAAACAGTTGGCACCTTCACTGTGCAATTCAACTATTATGATGTCCAAACAATAAGTAGTTGTACATGCTACACATATACCTATAATTCTTAGGGTATAAAAGTGGGGAAAATAGAGAGAGGCTGTTAACTGAAAAAATAAAATGATTTACACAATTTTCTACCAACGAATATATAAAGTGAATGTAATTGTAGAATATTGGACTTACATGTACAACTCGAGCTCGTTCACCAACAAAAGATTTTCCATCATGACCATGTGTATGGACATGCAAATGTAACTCACTTGGTGTTGGATCTCGCCCCTTTTCAATAGCCTATACAAGGAAAAAAAATTAAAAACATATGAAAATGTGAAAATACTTGGGATATAAAAACGGTTAATCGCGGGTCTCTTTCAACAACCTCAATATACTTATTCCTAGTATCTTTAGCATCAAACAATCTAAAATACTTGGGAAACTTCAAAATCACAGAAAACTCAAAATCATCAAGTAAACCAAAAAATTTCCTTGGGATGTGTCTACTGTGGCAGCAGTATGTACTACCCCCTATAATTGATGACAGAAAAAAAACAATATGTGCCATTTTCAGCTATACTTGATGAAATTTTGAATGGAAATATCTACACAACTTTAGGTACGAAAAAACTGTGTTCTGATTTTAGACTTTAGCAGCACATGACGCACTTAAACTTGACCCACCACCTAAACCAGCGTTGAATATCTTCAAACACGCTAAATTACTACATCAATTTCAACTTTATCAACAACAAAACTCAAAATCAATGAAGAAAACTGAAAAATCAGGCAAAATTGATGTAGAAAACTGGAAATTTTCATTCATGATTAGCAGTTCATTACAAAAGGATAAGCTAAAAGCAAGCTAATTGAACTAACCTTACATCCACAAAATACTAATTCAAACCTTAACAGTAGTACACAAAACCTAAAAATTTAAATTGGGTGTTTAAATACCTTAAAAGCATGAGGGAATTTGAGATATACTTCCCTGTTTCATATTGTTTGAACCCAAAACAGTGAGCAAGCATATCAAGGCGAGAAATGACGATCATTCAATTTGATTGAGTAAGAAGTAATTCATATGTTGAGTCTAAAACATTTAGTGTGTGGTAAAACAAACATATCACCACAAGTGTACATAACAACCAAATAAGTAAAAAAGAAGTTCTATACAATTATAGCAACAAAGCCTTATCAATAATAGAGACACTTCACAAGTTATATTTTGCCATCTGTGTGTTGTGGAGTGTCGTGTCTTCAGAAAGCAAGACACTGCCCAGCACACACAAGATTATATGGGATGTCCGCTTAATACGTTATTATCTACAACTATTCATATTCATAGTTAGTACTTATTGCCACAATGTATCATGGTTAAGAGCCATCTGAAGAGCAACCTTCCTTCATAAACAAACCCCAACCAATAACACGTGGATTTCCAAAATCAGTACAGTGTGCAGAAGAGCAGCTCCAAGAATTTAATTCTCAAGATTAAATATCAAAGCAGAAAATTGGTTGAACAATTGTAGGAAATGCACAAATAATATGATGATATGCCTCAATGTTACAAAGAGAAGGCTCAAATGCAAGAACAACTGTCAGTTCTTTCCCATGAAAGTATTAAGGAGAAAGCATTTTCTAGTCTCGAATTGCGGGATTGCAGACAAAATACAAAGGCAATTCAATGTTCTGAAGGGTTAAGATTATGCATATAAAGTAAATTAAGGGTGTGCAAAAATATACTTACAAGTCTCTTGCGATGCTCTCCAATAGTAATAGAGCCTCCCGTGTGAGTCCCCTTTGCAACTGCATTCTGATCACCACACCGATTTTTTGAATTTATTTTTGACTTCTCAACAACCTTGGGATCTTTCCAAAATCTCATCCAACTTTCCCATGTTTCTTCCGGAACATATTTTGGCCGAACTGCTCCTTTTTTTATGCAAGAAATAAAATCACTGTACCTTCTTGCTGCCTTCTTACGCCATAGTATCTTCACTTCACTATCAATGGAAGGATCCCAATAGAATTCCTTCTAAAATAATTTTATAAGTAAACAACATTAGTATCTAACCTTCAAAAGTGATGTAATATTTTTTATTAAAATGGTGAAATATATACCTCGAATTCTCCGAGATAAAAATCTCTTATTTCTTGTGAGACACTTTTCCAATTAATTCCATTAGGATCAAGTTCACTTTTGAAAGACTCACATATCCTAGTAGAGCAAATATTTGATGGTTCCAAACTGGAAAAAAAGTTGAAATATATTATATGAAGTCTATCATGAAGAAATTATAGTATATAAATAACAATAGTGCAAGTACAAACTTACCCGGAATGAGAAAGAAAAACAAGTGTCCGCTGTCCAGAATTATTATTACTCTCACCTTCACCTATTGTGTTGTTCTGGCTAGATGTAGGCTCCTCCCCTATCACGTTTCTTTGAGTAGATGCACCTTCGCCTATTCCGTTGCTCTGATTAGATATTACATGAGGTGTTTCAAAATGAACAGATGGAGTACTACCATGAGCTGATGTTTGAACAGGAGGCGAATTAGTAGGAGCTAATGTTTGATTTTGGTTAATATGATCTGGTCCAACAGAAGAATTGATACCACCTTGTTGAGAATTAGTTATGGGAATGGGAACAGTAGGCATATAAACTCGACTTGTGCTGCCTCGACCTCTAATTGAGGTCTTGCTTGCACGAGTTGTGTTACCTCGACCTCTGCCTCGCGTCATGTCTACAAGAAAAATAACTTCAAGATTGCATAATCCCATACATTCCCAAACAAGAGAAGGAAAAGAAAAAAAAAATTACCCAACTGGAGTAGCTACATAACAGATCATTACATTGCAGCTTCTAATCACAATACTTCTTTTAACCCAAGTGGAGTAGCTAAGCAGCAAGCAACTAATAGTCACCCTCTACTTCTCTCTAACTTTCTTTTCTCTCAATGCTTTTAGTTAATGCAGCACTTATTCAGTGTTGATAGTCAAGTACTTAAGTCTAAGAATTTTTTTATGGGAAGTCATATTTTCTAGGGGAAGAAAATTCAAAATTAAAAGCACACTAGAAACTAACAAATAATTGATGGCGACAAGCATTGGATTTCATCAGAACTCAAGAAATCATACCATCATTCAGTGACAATAAAGCCAACTGATCAGCAACATCACTTCTCCATATCCTACTATACAACTAAAACAAGAATGGATTCATATCTACTATTATATTGAAAATCTCAGGTAATGCAGGTGCATAAAACACAAGGCAGAATACAATCTTCACGCAGGATGTGAATCTGCCTTTGAGAATTAAAAACTGGTTGAAGAATGATATTCTCAAATACTGTTTCTTAAAAAAAAGTCACTGAAAGCATTAAGTTTAGTATGATTCACTGGGCAAAAATTTGCATCCAAAACATAGTGCTATAAACCAAAGTCACTGAAGATACAGTAGCACATTTCTATCAATATACTAGTCTGTATCTATTTCATCTTCAAACTCCTCATCATCCTCCTCTTCAGTTTCACCTTCATCTTCTGTAGTTTCTTCTTCTAATTCATGGTGATCTAACAACAAATCCTCATTAATTGGCTCAGCCATTTCAATTGTCTCCCCATTTGGATCATGCAGAGGTATATCTTCATCAACAATAATATTCATATCTATCTCATGGACTTCAACTTCTTCAACTTGGAATGGAAGATTTGATTCAACTACTGTGATCCCTCCCTCATCAGGTGATTCAATAACATCTCGAGGTTTGACTTTTAATACAGCTAACCAATCATCCTTGTCCCTCTTTCTGCTAGGATAAGACATATAACACACTTGAGTTGCTTGCATTGCAAGAATAAAAGGTTCATATTTTTTAAATCGGCGACGATGATTAACATCGACCAATTTATACTGATTGTGCTCCTTAACACCAACATTCATTGTTGGATCAAACCATTCACACTTGAATAATATAGCTTGCTTTAAAGGTGCTCTACGATATTCCAATTGTATAATTTCTTGTATCCTACCATAGTAATCACCAGCATTTGGATCTGAGATACAAACTCCACTGTTCGTTGTTGATCTTACACTACCGCGATGTATTGTATGAAACTTGTATCCATTGACAAAACACACTGGATAAGCACATGCGCTTATTAATGGTCCATGAGCAAGACTACTCAAGTATTCATTTTCAATATGGTTGGATCGAACCTAGTTAAAAATACTATAAAATTTAGTCTATATTCACAAGATAATTTAAAAACATCACTTTTTAAAAGAATAATCATTGTTTGAGGCTTACATATTCCTTGAACCATATAGGAAAATATGATTCAAGACTCTCATCTATTTGATCTTGAGGTAGATTCGGAAATTCTTCTTGCAAACGTTGTACGTACATGCTTCATTGCAACAAAATAAGTTATATAGAAAGTCATAATGTATAGTCAATTTTTTTATTTTAAACAGGTATAATCTTAAAATGTTACCTCACAAACGGCTCAACCTCTTGACAGTTTAGTAGAATATAAGTTTGGGCGGCCTTAATTTCTTCAAGGGATAAATCTCTTTTTTTTCCTTCACCCGATAGTCTACTTGGATGGGTGAATATTGATAAATTTCCTTCAACATCTTTCATAGCACCACCGTCATCATTACGGGTCACATTATGATGACGTGACATAACATGAGGTTCAAAGTAATGAGAAAACAATTGTGTTGACTCTGCCATCAAGTATGCTTCACAAATGGAACCTTCAACACTAGCTTTGTTCCCAATCATATTTTTAAGAGTTCGGAGGTACCTATATAGGTAAACAATTAAATTATAATGTCATGTCTAACATACTTTTCACCATAGGAGCATAAATAATTTACATTTACCTCTCAAAAGGATACATCCATCTATATTGTACTGGTCCAGCAATTCGTGCTTCAAGTGGAAGGTGCACTGGTAAATGTTCCATTGAGTTAAAGAATCCAGGAGGAAATATGCGTTCCAACTTACACAAAATTTGTGGAATGTGTACCTCCAATCTTTCCAAGTCCACCACTCGAAGAGTAGTTGAAGTAAGATCTTTAAAAAATAAACTCAACTCTGTAAGTGCCTGCCACACATTACTAGGAAGTAACTCACGAAAGGCAATTGGCAATAGTCGTTGCATGAACACATGACAATCATGATTTTTCATCCCAAATAACTTAAATTTCTCTGTGTCAAGGCATCGACTCATATTCGAAACATAACCATCTGGAAACTTCACACCTTCCAACCAATCAAACAAGACCCTTTTTTTATCCTTATTTATTGTATATGCAGCTTTAGGATAACTTCCATCAGGATTCCTTGCCAAATGTGGCCGATTGCAATATTTTACAACATCTAGACGTGCTTTTGGATTGTCTTTGGTTTTGCCATCCACCTCAAGAACTGTGTTAAATACATTATCAAAGACATTTTTCTCAATATGCATGACGTCAAGATTATGTCGTATCATATTAGAACTCCAATAAGGCAAATCCCAAAAGATGCTTCGTTTTTTCCATCCACAAGACTTACAAATTCTTTTATTAACTTCTTCTGCATCTAACTCAGTTACTTTCCTTATCCCCAACTCACATATTTGATTCAAAATTTCTTGTCCTGATCTTAAAGGTGGTGGCAATCTTGTGACAATATGACCTTTAAGAAAGTTCTTACGATCACTTCTAAATGGATGATTTTGGTCAAGAAACATTCTATGATTGTCAAACCAAGTTGTTTTCACACCATATTGTAATCTGAAGGATTGTGTTTCCTCCATACAATAAGGGCATGCTAAGTTTCCACTGGTACTCCATCCTGATAACATAGAATATGCCGGAAAGTCATTGATAGTCCACATCAAAGCTGCCCGTAATTGAAAATTTTGCTTTTTTGAGATGTCAAATGCTTCTACACCTGTCTCCCACAATAAAGTCAATTCCTTTTATTAGAGGTTGTAGATAAACATCAATTTTTTGTTTAGGATTGTGTGGCCCTGGAACAATGACAGTTAAAAACATGTAAGCCTCCTTCATACACATCCCCGGGGGTAAATTATATGGAGTGACAATCACTGGCCATGAAGAGTATTTTCTTCCAGATTGAGCAAATGGTTGAAAACCATCAGTACATAACCCCAACCTCACATTCCTCGGGTCAGAAGCAAAAAAGGGATGAGTTTCATTGAAGTGCTTCCAAGCCTCAGAGTCTGATGGATGTCGCATTACCCCCTCTTCTTGTGTATGCTCTTGATGCCATCTCATGTCGGCAGCTGTGGCATGAGATGCATATAATCTCCGCAATCTAGGAATAAGAGGAAAATAATACATTTTTTTGTAAGGGACCAATTTTCTCTTACGAGAACCAACACGACGTTTAAACCTCTCATAGCCACAAAACTTACAAGATGTTAGGTCTTTATCATCTTCCCAATACAACATACATCCTGAGTTACAACAATCAATCTTTTCAACAGGCAAACCCAAGCTACGCACTAGCTTCTTGGTTTGATAATAACTATCGAGAACTTGGTTATCTTCAGGTAATGCCTCTTTCAATAGTTGCAGCACTTGATTATAGCCCCTTTGTGATAAAGTGTTCTCCATTTTAATATTTAGCATCCTAGAAACTAGCGCAAGTTGAGAGATGGAAGAACCAGGATACAATTCTGCATCAGCGGCTTGAAGTAAATCATAAAACCTTTGTGACTCAAGATTAGGTTCCTCCTCCATTGAAGGATTAGAATTTTCCTCCATTGGAGGTTCACAATGATGAGATGACTCAGGTTCGTCATTACTATAAGATTGCAAGCTCGAACCCTGACCAAAATTTGATCCAACTGCATCCAAAACCATTTGGCGATATGGATTATCATATCCCAATCCAGATTGTGTATCATTCGGTAAATCAATAGACATATCACCGATCACTTCTTTTTCTCCTTGATATTTCCAAACAAAATAGTTCTCAACAAATCCTAAACGAAAAAGGTGTAGTTTAACAGTTTCAACATTCATGTATTTAATGTTGTGACATTTTTTACATGGACATCTAACTTCCTCACCACTCATGCGATTCGGATGAGAACATGCAAACTTGAGAAAGTCATTCACACCGGCTATAAAACTAGAATTAAGAGCCCCTCGACCATCTAATCTCTTGTACATCCAACTACGCTTTAGATGTTCCATACTCCTACTTAATGTTAAAAAATACAAAATAATTAGAGTTATTCAAAAAATTAGAACTAAAGAAATTACATAGAAGTACTAAAGTAGAAGTCTTTAATTGAAATGTATATAGAGAACACAAACCATATCCTTTTATTATATGTGGATCAAGAAGCTTTCCAGCAAACAAATTCAAGTATCTTCTACTTGTGCTTTTATTTTAACAAATTCAAAACACCTCTAAGTTCCCAGTTTTTACAGCATCATAAAACAACAAACCATCAGAAACTTAAAGAAAATCCACATAGAACAAGTTGTTGTTTACTTACCACAAAAACAAGCAAACAAAACTAGTGGTGTAATGTTAGAATGAAAAGAAGTACTACATCCTTTTATTATATGTAGATCAAGAAGCTTTCCAGCGAACAAATTCAAGTATTTCTGCTTGCGCTTTTATTTTAACAAATTCAAAAAACCTCTAAGTTCCCAGTTTTTACTTCATAAAACAGCAAACCACCAGAAACTTAAAGAAAATCCACATAGAAAAAGTTGTTGTTTACTTACCACAAAATCAAGTAAACAGAACTAGTGGTGTAATGTTAGAATGAAAAGAAGTACTCCATCCTTTTATTATATATGGATCAAGAAGCTTTCCAGCGAGCAAATTCATGTATTTTCTGCTTGTGCTTTTATTTTAACAAATTCAGAAAACCTCTAAGTTCCCAGATTTTACAGCATCACAAAACAGCAAACCACCAGAAACTTAAAGAAAAACCACATAGAACAAGTTGTTGATACTTACCACAAAAACGAGTTACAGAACTAGTGGTGTAATGTTAGAATGAAAAGAAGTACTACATTTTTACCTAATATTGTGTCTGATTTACCAGAAAACAACAGAGAGCAGGGGAAGGGTGAAAGTCTAGCTTATGTAGGTTTCACTAAGTTTCAAATATCAAATGGTTAAACAAAAATAAACAAAACAATATGATAGAATGATCTTTGTGCCCAAAGTTTTCTATTTTTAAGCTAATGCTCCTATCTGCCCTAAGTTTGACCCAAATGCAAAAGTTGCTAAATAAGAGATCATTACCAGCGTGCTACACACAAGGTTACATGTTCATCAATAAAATTACATATACAACTTCTCAACATACTAGTTTATTCAAATTCTCAAAATTATTAACGCAAAATGTTTATTCAAGACCGAACCAGTATGACTACAGTCTGACATACAAGATAAGTGCACCAAACTCCAATATAATTGACAACAACGTCAGTAGCTTGTTCCGCACCTGATGCAAGCAAAATGTAGATGAGACATAGAATGGGAAAGTTCGTCGAAACCCAAAATGAGGAAACTAAAATATGTGACTGATACATTAACTCACGTATAGACCATTTATTCAATCACACCATCAATTCCAAAGAAATTTCTCCATAACATCAAAAGGGGAAAGCTTTAAGAACTAAAATTATCAAATAACGGAGCATAACAAATCCCCAATTATGATACAACAGAAAATATATTGTTACCCTGACTAAAATAGAAAAAGCATTTTTACCCATAACAAGAAAAAAAAATAGATCCTTCAACAAGATAAATATAAATGCAAAGATTAGGGTAGATAATAGGCACTTTATTGTTACCCTAACTAAAAAAATCAGAAAAAGATGATGAAGAGTACTGTAGATGAACCAGAGATGAAATAACTATAAAATTTTAGACATTAATAGAAAATATTGTTACCTTTTGATGAACCAACAACAATGAAACAAGCTTTCCCACAGAACAACACACAATGAAGTTTGCAAGGTTTTCTTCCCACAGAAGGCGCTGCTATGTATGTGTAGCAATGAGCAGCAAATAGGAAGAGAGTGAGTGATTTAATTTGTGTGAAAGGGATTTGTGCCCTAGGAATTTTTTAGGTAGCAATGAGCAGCAAAGAGGAAGAGAGTGAGTGATTTAATTTGTGTGAAAGGGATTTCTGCCTTGGAATTTTTTTATTATAAGTTTATCGCGAATTTCATAGGCAATTATCTAATTTAGTAGGAAAAATAGAGGCGCCAAATTTTAGCGCCTAAATTCAGCGACGGATTTAAGTTTTTGACGCTATTCTTTCGCTAATTTAGGTCCCAATATATTATCCGATAATTTAGCGACCAATTTATATTTCCGTAGCTAATCCGTCGTTATTTAGCGACGGAATATTGTTTGTCACTATAATCCGTCGCTAAATGCTGTTTTTTTTTGTAGTGATGGTATGCTCTTACTATATTCAATCTTAACCCAAATCTTTAGTTTCAGGTTCTATTCCTCTCTATAGGGAATCCCATTCCAAGTCTATTACTCTTTACCACCACATTAGGCTCATATCAAGAACCACCTAAAGTTTAACAACACCACATTCAAGCTTGGTACTCTTACAATTCCATGGACTCCTACTAACCAACTCTTTAGGAACCAACTAAGGGCTCTCATTTAACTATTTCTCATCGTAAAACCTCATCCTCCTCTTGCTCCTCATTTATTCCCTTAGATGGAATTATCACACCATCACTCTAACGATAAGAACATCAACCTCCTATTTCTAACATCACTCCATTACTAAAAGGCCCTCCGAAAAGACTACTCCTTGGAATGCATTACTATCTTACTGTCAAACACTTTACTTGATTTCTCCTCTTGTCATCTCCCCCTTAGGTCTAAACCTGACACTTGAAAGCTATTGATCTATTCCATTACATCTAACTGGTCTACATCCTCTTTTACTCTAACACTTGGAAGAAGTTTATCTCATGACTACCGAACTCTCAATAAGCAGGAACTAAGACCTATTTCTAAGGTGGTTCTCTTAACCTCTTCTAAATCACATACCCTCTTCGTACACCTCTTAATGCTTTTGGTACTCTTGTGACTTTGCTACACTTCATTGCTCTTATATCGTAACTCATACTACCGTTTCCGGTGAAAATCTTACCGAAGCTCTAAATATACTTCTTCAAAAGAATCTCAGCTGAAACAAGGCTTAATGAAAAGAGTACAACTCGCTCTTAGCTCAAACGCCCGATTCATATATTTATGGGTGCATTTCTCTGAAACTGAACACTTAATAACTTATGGGCTTCTCTCAAGCCATTTTGGAGTCTCATGACTTCCTCAAGATTTTTGCTACGAACAACTCATCGACAAATGACTGACTTTTCTGTTCAACCACCTCCAGTATGAGGTGTAGTCTAATGAATTTGAGAAACACATGAGTATAAATAAATCTCTATGACTTAGCTCTATTGCACGATTAACAATATGAAAGAAGGGAAACTTTTCTTAAATGTTTGTAGTCCCTTGTTTATAGAAGTGGGGACCCCACAACCATAAACAATACCCTACTGACACGACTTCATAGACACCCTAGGACTGTTGAACTCTCTGCTCTGATACCAAGTTTTTCACGACCCGAGCCTACACCCTGGACGTTGCCGGTACTCAACAACCATTGCTGGTCCCGAAGCGAACCCTTATCCTAGCTGACTACAAGTGGAAGACTAACTTAAGCATGCAAAAGCTTAAAAACAGAATAAAATTCATGAAACTCAAATATAAAGCTTTAACTCAAAAGAAAAATCTGAATAATATAATATATTCAACTCTCCCCAAAATGGGTAACTTAAGTCTTTAAAGCATTTAACAAAATAATTGAACAAACTTCTGAAACACTACAGTCTAACTATGAAGCCTCTAACTGACAAACATGGAAGTTGAGACAAGACCCACAACATCCTAACAACTGAAAAGTAAATGAAATCCTCCGGAAGCAAGGAGGCTCAATATAGCTAACTCGAACTCCATGTGGTATCAACAAAGCTCTTGTTGATGACCCTGAATACGTGTATTTGCATCCTGAAAAGATGCAGGCCAAATGGCTCAGTACGTGGAATGTACGAGCATGTAAGGGGAATGCTAAAGCATAACATCAGCTTGAACTTGATAAAAAGGAAATAGACTAACCTCTACTCAAACTTACTCAACTCAAGGATACTCAAAACTACTTAAAGAAACTCAACTCAAAATACTCAACTCATGATACTCAACTCAGTATAAAGCAACAATATACATGCAATATATTGAAAGGTTTAAAAACAATAGAAAGCAACTCAGTTTACTCATATAATAAAGCAATATAACACTGTCGGAATTTCTCCAACCGACAACCACCACTATGAGCCTAAGTGATGCTACAACGTCTTGCCCACGCTGCCAGAACTGTCCTATACTTTGTCGCTATATAGAACGCCTTAACTAAGTAGATCCACTAGTCTATGCTAAAAAGCATTAAGGGATCATCTAAAAAGTATGACCCATCCCTTTCTACCCATGTTGGGTATATGGTTTATAGAGATTTGAGGTATTATGAACTTGCATCCCCATATCAGCGCTCAATACTACTCCCAAAATATATACTCAGCTCATATGTTTAAAAACATAACTCTTTCTATGGTTTGAGCTAATTTCTCAAACTGCCCTCTTAAAAGAGGTAACTGCTCTTGAAAACTCTTTCTAAAAAACATATCAAAATCATATTTTAATATGATCATTGATGACTCTGGAAGTCATACTGCATAAACATTGATGGTATATCTAGATACCATACTACTTAAACATTGATGACATACTCGATTGTCATACTAATCTTGTTTTAGAAACTCTTTCTCAAAACTCATCTTTTTCTTAAAAGAGATGGTACTCAAACTGCTCAAAAATCTTTTGGAAGTCTTAATTTCCTCTCATCTTCAATGTAAAAACATTTACTATTGGGAACACTTAGTTCCCATATATCATTTTAAAGAAAATGAACTCAACTCAACTCTTTCTCAACTCAGTGCTCAAGTCTTCAAAACACGTTTTAAAACAATTTGTAAAATGACTTCTTAGAATAATGTTCATGCCGAATTATGAATGTGAATGACTCAATTTAAGGTTTTCAATAACCATACATAGAACTCAATACTCAAAACTCAAC